GCTGGGAACAGTCAACCTGCGCCCTCTGGATGTCCGTTGGAGCAGCGTAAGTCGTGGGGCAGCAAGTTCAGGTGAGGTGCCGGCCGGGCCAGTCGTGTCGTCTCGCTACGTCCATGTGTCCCTTAAATGTTCATTCTTGTAGAACTGTAGACGCTGCCCGTGGTTGTTGTATCATGTTAGCAGCTCTTGAGTTCATATTTTGTTGTCCCGTTTCCGACCGTTGGCCTTCGTCGAATCATGTTTCCCGGAGCAGCTGCAGACGCCAAAGCCTGCCAGCAAAACTGCGAACGTGAAAAGCAAACATGCGCAGATTGAGAGGTGGCCAGGCAGGATGTCATCATTCCTTCAAGCGGTTCGGGGGTCAAGCGCGGTCAACATGATGCGAGGTCGGGCTCTTGGCCAACGTGGGTTTCCCCGATTCAGGGTTTACGGCAAGCCAGCCGTCCTTCGTTGTGAGTTTCTTTGGGTTTTGCCATCCACAGGTCGTCTCGAAAAGGGGGGGGACGGTCCTGTTCTTCATTGCTGCCATGTGGCTTTTTGCATATTGTGTGTGTGTGTGTGTTTGTGGCCAAAGTTATGCATGTTCGCTGCTCTTGCTTCTCCCATGGCGTTGTCCGGTTGTCGGCCTTCGGCGAAACATGTCTCCAGAAGCACCAACAGACGCAAAAACACATCCCACAAAAAGTTAGAGCCTTCAAAGGCAATCGAGCATGCTTTTGAGGGGTGGCCGTCCATCGGCGGGTTTATGGTTCAGGATTTGCTTGGGGTTTACGGATGTCATCATTCCTTCTATATAGGGCTTCGGTGTCAAGCACAGTCAGCCATGATAAACTTTCATTTTCATGGGCAGCGTGGGACTCGGCGATTTAGGGTTTAGGGTTTGTCAGCCGTGTTTCGTTGTCGGGTTTGAGCTTTGTTTGGGTTTGTCTTTGTGTTTAGTCATCGACAGACGGTTTCGCAAGCAGAAAGATTTGTGAGATTAATGTTGTAGCATCTTGCATCTGCATGTCAATTGCAATTGCGCAAGTCGTTGGGCAGATTTTTGCAGGTTGGATGGGGCGCCGGTCGAGTTTTTAATCGCTGCCCTATTGTCCTTTTGCATATTGGTTTGCGTGCGTGCATGCGTGTGCGAACTTCTTCACCACACGGGAAAAGGTTGGTCACTCCTAGATATGTTTGTTTTCTTGCGTTGCAGGAGGACGCAGCATGTCACTGGAACTATGGGAAGAGAGGACGGACTGATCATCCTATTGTACCTGCAAGGCAGCCCATTGCAATGCCAGGATTAGGTAAAAAAGGACAGCCCCCTTGAGATGTCCAGATTAGTTTGCAGTAGCCGTTGCTTACGTAAAGCAACGAACAACAACCCCGCCTCACCCCTCTTCCCTGCTTGCCATTTGCGCTTGCCGAAATCCCACACGTGTGTTTGTTGCAAAAACTATGTTTGCTTGTGGTATTGCCTCTGCAGCTTTTGCTTGCCTTCGACGACTGATGTGTCGCAAAGTAGCAGCAGACGCGAAGAGCAGCCAGCAAAGCTACAGCCATGAATAGAAAAGCACGTGTTGTGCAGAGGCGGCCGCTCATCTTCGGTTTAGGGTTTGCGGATGTTTGCGGGGTTTAAGATGTCCTGATTCGTTTCCGGAGTTTCGGGGTCAAAGTCAATCAGCCACAGCCAGGGTTCCCGAATTTAGGGTTTGGGGTTTGTCAGCCGTCGTGGTTTTCGGGTTTGAGCCTTGTTTGGGTTTGTCATCCTAAACTGTCGTCCCAGCAAGTACCTGCCAGGTTTGTTGTAAGATCTTTGCATCCGAATCTCGCTTAAAACAGCTCGCGTGGCTGTGCAAAGTGTTTGCAAGTTGGATGAGGTGCTGGCCGTGCGTTTGCGCATGTGTCGTTTGCGTCTTCGTTTATGTCTTTTGGCAGTGTTTTTCGGCAGATGCCTTCTCGCGTGATTGCAGCATCATGTGTGCAGTTCTTGTTATCGCATGGTGTTGTCTGTTTTTCGACCGTCGGCTTTCCACGAATCATGTTTTCCGGAGCAAGCTGACCCGACAAAGCATGCCAGCAAACTGCAGCCATGAGAAACGAGCATCCATGTTTCCAGGAATGGCCGTCCATGCTTCGGTTGAGGGTTGAGGATTTGCTGCGGTTCAGGGATGCCATCATTCCTTCCGGTTCGGGGTCGTGCAGTCAGCCATGGTGCACTTTCGGGTTCGTGGGCAGTGTGGGGTTCCACGATTTAGGGTTTAGGGATGTTCAGGGTTTGTCAGTTGTCTTTCGTTGTCGTTTGGGTTGTGTCATCCACAGCGGGCATCACAACCAAGGACTTGTCAGATTTGCGCTGCAAGATTTTGTGTTTCCATTTCGATTGGTTTCATGTGACGCTTTGTGCAACATTGTTGGTCCATGTCGTGTGTTTTTAGAGAGTTTTCATTGTTTCGCGGAAGCTTTAAGCAATTGTTGCACATGTTTGCCTTTTTGGCTGGTTGCATGGTTGTGTGTGTTTTCCGACCGTGTGCCTTCGAGGAAGCATGTCTCCCGAAATCCAGGATTGTTGTTGCTGCTCGTCGTGTAGTCTAGTTCCGGCCGGGCATCCTTCGATCATGTGTTGAAGATTTTTGTTTGGGATTGGCCATCGGTTCGGAGGTCAGGGACAAAGGTTTGTCGGCCACCGATTGCTGTGGTGTCGCCACCCGACTGTCTCCAAGTGTGGGGTTTGGAAATACGCTTGTCGGCCATCGTTTGCTACTCGGTTTTGGCATTCTTTCGGTGTTGTCGTCTGCGGCCTGTCCGCTTCAATTGAAGCCTTTTCAATCCCCATTCCGCAAGTGTAGCGTTGACCGGCAATCCTTGACGATGTGGCTTTGGAGTTCATGTACTTCTCATCTCGAGTCAAGCATGGGCCGTGAGTTGTTTCAGAGGTCGGGAGGCAGGGGTTAGTCACCCAACGTGCGTTTTCAGGCCATACAAGAGTTGGCGAATCGTTTCCTTAATCACACATTGTCAGCCATCCTCGCTTTTGTGTTTCGGCTTTGGCATCCATCATGGTCCATGCCAGGGATGAGGGTTGGCCAGTGTTTCTTCATACAGCCACACTTCAGTTCAGCATCGGGGCTTCGTCTCGGATTCGAGTACGTACTTATCAGTATAGAGAGAGCACTTGATATTCAGCCAGTAGTCCGCCCGCTTCAGAGTCTTGTTTTGTTAGCATAGGTATTTTCTTAACCGGCAAGTCACCTCTGGGTTCCGGCCTGTCAGCTGCTGCGCGTTTTCGGTTTGAGTTTAGGGTTTGTCAAGCCGCGTCAGGGTCTGGAGTTTAAAATACATGATTCGACCAGAACACGTCAGGGCCGCCCTGAGTCAGCATTGGTCATACTTGTCATGCGCGATGGAGTTGTTGTTTCTTGGGAGGAAGCCCATGCTCGAGCCAGGGCTTTGGGCCTTGGGCCATCAGCCATCACTCGTTTTCGGGTTAAAGGTTATAACTGGACACCCTGTCATGTGACCGAGATTTTTAACCACCATTCGTTGTAGGACGAAGCATCACTGGATTTCGTTTCTGGGCGTGTCAGCCATGTTTCAGGAAGGAGGGATATGCAGTTTTTGGCCGTTTTGAACCCTCTTCGTGCAAAAATTTTCGTGATGGGTAGCAGGCACACGACTCAGAGTTGGCACCACGTGTTTTACTCTTTCGGGTTTGTGAGCTGCTGCTCGAGCCCTTTCCGGAGGCCTGGGTTGCAAAGTACCTGCTTTCGGGTTCAGAATTCGTCACCGATCACTTCATGCAGAAGGCTCCAAGCCGGTGCTGAAGGTAACCATTCACTACCGGTTCACTCTGTTCTCGGGTTGACGGTTTGGGATTTGTATACATCGTCTAGATAAACACGACAGCACTGTGGAACTTGTCCCACATGGATTGCAGAGTCTGAGTCGTCACTTCAACACCCGGAGACAGCCTGCTTTGTCCTGCGGTTGTATCTGGCTTCCACATTTTCCAACCTGAGGTCATTCCCGCCGGCAGTTGAGCCGCAGAACCAGTTGGAGCTGACGCTTGTGCGGTCCTCGGCCTCTCTCTGCTGATTCTAGCTTGATCAGCCGGTCTTCACGGGACACAGTGGTGCTAGTTGATGGGGGTCGGGTCCACTGCCGGCGACGCAGGTCAATCCTCAGATATCGGCTGGCTCCGACATGCGCCTGGAAGGCTGGTTGTGGATTTCCCTGGGTCTTTTGTGCCCAGCAAGACGGAAAGTCCGAAGAACCGAAGCGCAGTAAAAAAAATTGTCAGCGACCCCTGAGGCACGGTTTGGAACGCGGCCAGAGATCCAGAGCTCCAAAACATTTTCCAGAGCGCAAATGTATGGATGCTGGTGCAGGGCTTACTCCACCTGACAATTTGCAGCTTTAAGTCGTGATTCGTTTGTCATCGAGGATGCTCACAGACGGTTTGCAGATGGAGAATCTTTTGACCATCATTGAACCATATGTGTGTGGGTGTGGCAGGAAGACTGAAGATGCACAGGTTTTTCTTTGGCCGTGTAACTCTTGGCCATGTATCTTTGGGCAGTATGTAAGAAATCGGCCTTCCACAAAGGTTGTTGCGAGCACATAATGTGCGCACTGTCCTGCAGCCACACGATGTTGTTGCACGGGACAGCTGACCGTCTCGGTGGGGAAATCTCAGCAAACATAAACATGCTTTGGACACAGCCGCCAACTGAACATCAGGAAAAGATCCGACCCGTTATTGTGTTTAGCACGCCCCGTGGACGCGTAAGGGCTTTCAAGCATTCGTCTTGCAGCGTTTCATGTCGTGTCGAAGTTCTCGCCGTGTCACAGACGTTTTCTACAGACAGAGACACGTTGTTTCCTGGGAGCGCAGGAGATCTACGAGCCGGGAGCTGGCTACCTCTTCTACGAGACCCGGAAACAAGCAGGGATCTTGCCAGGCAGCGGCAGCTTATGGCGGAGTAGCAAAGATGTGTGCAGATCTCGCCGAAGTGCTCTGCAGGCTTCGCTCTGCAGGCCATCACTGGGGCAGAAGTCCTGCCATGGCTGCCGCTCTCCTCCACGCTTCCGCCGCTCTCACCCAACATCAGAAAATGCCCCTTCTTTGGCTAGGGCTAGTTTCTTTCCCGTCAGAGCACTCACCAGATTCGGGGCCTTGCAGCCAAGACTTCCGATCATGATCAGCTTCCGCCTTGGGACGAGCTTTACGGCACCTTCAGGAGTCTTGCATCCATGCGGCACAAAGTCTGTCGAAGGACACAGAGCAGAACAAAGGCACGCATGGAAAGAGCTCCGTTGGCTATCCGAGGGCTGCCCTGGAGCTGCTGGCGCCCAGTGGCTTCAGCTTTTCAGAGGCACGCCGGAATGTGCTGCCATTCCGCTTCCAAGGCGTGTGCCTCAAATGTGGCTCTACAAAAAGAATGCAAGGCGTGCACGTTCAGCAGGATCTCCCCACTCCACCTGGAAGTTGATGGCATCTCGGCTTCAATGCTTTTTTTCCTGCCGGGGCTTGACACCCTGCAACTCAGGATTCACGTGGCTTCCAGAAGGCTCTTTGTCGGCGTGCCGCTTGCCTTACTTGAACTTCTGGTGAGCAGTTATCTGGCACAGCAGCATTGCATCGAGCCTGGTAGAAAGTTGCTTATGTTGCTTCACCCTTTCAAGGCTCGTAGTTGTGCAGTGTGCCACAGTGTGCATTCGCAAGACAACAGCTCCGTGAGACGCAAGGTGCTGGGCTTTATGAAAGCCCCGAGAACCAAAGCACTGCGGAGGTACACGTGCAGAAGTTAATCTTGCTTGGAAGTTGACGGATGGTAAAACGATGCAGAGCAGTGTGCGGGGGACACGGAGTCCTCGTATGTCCTAGTGCAGGGCATCAGCATTGAGGCTTCTCTCCATTCGTGAGAACTTAACAGCAGATGATCCTAAAAGGGTGCAAATTCCAACAGCTCCCTTGGCAGGCCTCTGTGCAGGATCGGCAAGTGGCACTTCTCTCGCTCTTTCCAGGCCAAGTTTTTGGAATGCACGAAACAGAGTGTGATGGAATGCTAACAAACATCTTGCGCACCAACGTCAGGCACGACGCTCCAGCGTCGGTTGCTATACGCACTCTATGTTGAGGCAGAACTTAGTTTTCGATTCCATGACGGTGTTGCCCTGGCTTGCATTGGCTGGCCCCATTGAGGTGTTCATCCCGAGCAGCTTCCCGCTGCAGAATTCCTGGCGTCTTCGCGTCTTTCGCAACGACAGCGGCACTGTGGAGTCAGCGACGATCCCGGGTTGCTTGGCGCGAAGAAGTTTCAGGCGTCGTGTTCAAGGGCATGATGAGGATTTCAGCCTTTTCGGAAGGTGGCAGCAAGTGCAGAGGCATCTCTTCATGGTGGGTTATCTGGCATGCCACACTTTCTCGTGGCAGACAGGGGGCCAGAGTGACCTGAAATGTCTTCGGATTGGAGCAACCGGACATGAGATTCGTGTCGAGCCATGTGCCCGTTGCGACATTTGAAGTCGAGTCCTGCATTGTAACACGACCAACAAGAGCCGACAGGAGACTGACATGACTGCAGGAGCTCGCATGACTGCAAGCAACCAGCAGCACTCAAGCCAACCCTTCACTCGCAAAACCGCACTCCATGCACCTACCTGTTGAGCTTTCATCATGACGTTTGCCTCTCCCCTGCCTATGCCGCCACTTCCCGGCGAAATGCGCGCGGCGCACTGATCGGAGCAGGCGACCAAGTGTGATCTGGCAGTTTCGTAGTAGTGCCGTTTCAGAGCAGGCATGGCTGGGACATCCGCAGAAAGCAAAGCGGCAGCTCGGGCCAGTGCTTTCGTGCTCCACGTGAGGGATTCGTTCGTTTGAGAGCTCAGGCACACCATGGGCGAGGGATGCTCAGCCATGCGGTTCAAAACCATGTCGCGTCCTTCAATTCCTTCTTGGACCATGGCCTGGATCGAGACTTGCAAGCCTTGGGAGGCTGGATGCAGTGCGAGTCGCTAAAAGACGATCCGCCCAGGAATGGTTGAAGGCCTGCCAAGCACGGAGGTGGAACCTGTAGAGGATGACGGCACCGGCGAGAGCCTGACGCTTTGACCGGCGCTTTCGGGTCGTTCGCAAAGGGCCGACAAAAGGCTTAGGGATTTAGGGCCCCTCTGCGTTGAAAGGATCGTTTACCTCTCAGAGCTCCTGATCTCCAAGCCGGTGAATCGAGCGCATCCAGGTTTCCTCGCAGAAGGCAGCGCCGGAAGCGTACGTATACGGTGCCGTGCTGTGCTCCGACTGCCTTGGCGCTTGCCGCTTGCAGGCGACGTGGATCTTGATCTCACAATGAGGAAGTGGCTGCCCTCTGCAGCTAGACTTCTAGTGGCTTGAGGAAAGAGCGCATTAATTGTGTGATTGGAGCTTTCCGGAGCTGTCCACTGCGACTTAGGACTGTCGAATGGCCCATTCCACCTACAGTGGAGCCCTGACCGCCACGTTCGAGTGCCGAATGGGGAAGAAGAGCCCGTGGAAGCTCGGATTGATCTGGGCATCTTGATTTCAAGCGCCTTCCAGTTCCTTCCTCATCAGGAATTCTGTGTTCTGTTCCTTCCTCGCTACTTGTAGCTGGTCTTGCAACTTACTTCTGAGGAGCGCGACGATTGAGCTTGGAGAGATACCAGCGCCTCGGGCACCAAAGTGGCCAGGTTTGCAGGGATTCTGCCCGGTTCTGTCCTTGTCCAGGTCATGGTGCGCTCAAAGAAGTGCAATCTCCATGGCCTGAGCCAGGCCCGGTTTGACAACTCGGATGCCGTGCAAGCCTCACCCGGGAAAAGCCTAAAGCAGAACACTGACGTTGCATCAATGGAGTTGACCATCGGAGAAGAAGCAGGGCTGATGAAGCACAGCGCTGCGGTGCTTTCGTGATGGAACATTCTTAAAATTACGTTCGCACCAGAGCTGACGACAACGTTCGATGTATGGTAGGAGAACCAAAGCGACGGCAGCTTTCGCGTTTCGCCAGTAGCTGTCTAAACGAGGTGCAGTCCCCAGCACAGGTCCAAAAGGCCACAGGGTCGAAGGCCCCACCCTTTGATCCCAGTCTGCGTCCGCTTCTGCACATTGATAGTTGCATGGCTGGGTTGGCTCTGAGACTCTGGAGAGGCCAAGCTGGTCGAGGCGCGGGAGGATTGCAGCTCAACTGCAGATGGCAGATCTTCGCAGAGAGACTGCTGAGCTGAGAGCTGCAGCCATCTGCAGCCTCCCGAGACGAAGGACAAAGGGCGGAGGGGTTGGTGCCTTTCAGGCACGGAGTCCGGCGGCTACTTCTTGCTTCGGGGCCTCGAGCGCGTGGTCCGCCTGCTGGTGATGCCACGCCGGGCCCCCGGGCGCCAGGGCCAGTGCCCTAAAGCAGCGGGGCACAGTCTCTCCCGTGAACTCTGAGGTTCGAACTATCCGATGGCCATCACCCGACCATCTTACAAGAATCGAGGCAAACTCTATACCGCTCATGCGGTCTTGATGAGGTGTTGCAGAGCCGATGGAACTACTCAGACCAACACGCTGCCTGGCAGCGTCGGACAGGCACCACAGTTTTTCCGACGTGCGTGCTCGGCAAGCCTTTCGCGATAGTGAGTTGAGGCTGCACTATTGCGTGGACGGTTCGTGCAATCTGCGGTTCAGCCACGGGAGGGAGGAATGGCTCATCCCGCTATCCGTGGTGGCGCACAGCCTCTATCAGGTTCAAGACCCAGTCTAGAAAAGTCTACGCAATGGCCATGCCGAGCAGCTTCACGTTGAGGCAGCAGTTTAGTTCGGTTGAGTCTCGCTGATTTAGGTCTCTGACAGATTGCTAGTGGAGATGTTCGCAGGCTCGGCTGAAGTTGAAGCTTCTCTGCATGGGTCGTTGAAACGTGCATGCTTCTGCACCAGGAGGCGGCGTCCCCGACAGCAACGTGGGCGACGAGCCTGGCCCAAACCATGACCTTTGGGAGACAGCCAGCTGGCACTGCATTGGCCTTGTTCTTCCGTCTGTTGCGGAGCCCTGATCTCAGAAGTACTGAGACCAGTGCTCCTTTGGGAAGCATGTCACATGAGACAGTACGTCCTTTCGTCGCGCACCATGCCTCCTTCAAGTTTCCGCTCTCACAGGTGTGCTCCAATAGGGAGTTATCAAATCTGGGAATCAGCCGAATGAACAGAAATCTCGGACTCGGGTCAGCTGCAGAAGCCTTCCGGCGAATGCTGAGGATGCAGATCTGAATCTTGTCTGCCGACTCCTCCCGCGCAAACAGCAGTCATGCACGTGGCAAAAGTAAGCCTAAAACTTCTTCGTCATGATAACGATGCTGCATGCAGACTGCACCGGTGTAACAGTTTAAAGGACAGCAGCAGGGACATGTTTTTTTTTGCAAGCCCGCAACATGACGAACTCATGCCGGAGAATCACAATCAGAAAGTGCTCGACGGTAAACCCAACTTGGATTTTTTCGGGTCGCTACTTTTCAGTTGTCTTACACATGCTGGTAGCCCCTTCCTGCAGCCTGCAACGTGTTCAGTGGGAATGGACTGTCATGAGGTATTGGTGATGCTGCAGCAGCAAAATGCCAAGCTTCGCATTGGTACCTCGACAGGGATTCCACTGAAGCTATTGCTAGCCGCCGGTTCCGCAATCATCGGCGCTGTAGTGTGTGGCTGTGAAGGGGTGGGGCCGGGGTTCCTGTTCACAAAGCAGAGGCGGCATGAGCGATGCTCGGCAATACCTCGGCCGCACCTTCCGCGTCGTCTTCGGGAGTGAGGTGCCCCGGAGGTACACCGACGAGGAGAGGTAGGAACTGAGGAAGCTTCTGTACTTCAGCACATATCGGCCCCTCCGAGAAGAATCTGACAATCCAAGTCCCTTTGGACTGACTAGATCCTCCGCGGCCCCACAGGAGATTGGCGAGTGGATGGTGAAGAAGTTCTTTCTTGTCCACACGGAAGACGGCTGGCTCAAGCTGAACACACTTTGTGTCATGCTGCTCGGACTCCAACAGGTGCTAGTCTTTGTTAAACCCATGAAAACAGCAGAACACTATACTTTTCTAATTTGCCACTACCAGACTTCCTTCACTGCAAAGCCGGGCGCCCTGACAAAATTGATCAGGACAGGGTTCTTGCCTCAAGCCTAGACACCGCATGCAGAATTTCTAGAGAAGCACGAATGGACTGAATGGAATTGTTGAGAGCCACTCAACGCACTTCCGGAGATCTGCCTGAGGGTGTTCGACGTGCTCATGTGAGCAGCAGTGAAGCAGACTGTGTCGCCCTTCATAGGTATCAGGTGTTGCTCACAGATTCTTGCTGCGCTGGCCGAAGGTTTCAGAAGCTCATGGGCCTCGTCCGTGGCGAGGTTGATCCAGACAACCAGGAGCTGCCAAAGTTCGACGATGTCAGCACATAAACGACGGGATCGTGGCTACAGCGAACGCACGTGCCTTTTTGCAGGACACCATGAGCAGCCACGAGGTTCTCCACCCCGGCCAGCTGCAGCCTGTCTCAAGCACGGGATTGCTTCTCGCGCGAGTGCACTCTTTCAAAATCCTTTCTAATTAGTAAAGCGACTCTTTGTGGTGCTTCAGCAAGTAAACATGATCGCTGTTCTTGCTAGATTCATGCCTTGCAAGGTACGGGATGGTTCTGAAGGAAGCGCTCGAAGTGATGCTCCAAAGATTTCGGGCGCAGGCCTTGCAATTTGAGGCAACCTAAGCCTGCAGCCCACGCGATGGCAGGTGCGCAAGTTGTCACGGAAGGAAAACAAGAATCCGCCGCCTGATATCATTACACTCCCTTCAGCTACTCACCATATTCTTCATGTGTTGCTCCCAGGAAACCCATTTCTGAGTTTTACAATAACGAAAAGCTCTTCATCAAGACGATGATGCAATGTTGCGAAGTCCAGTGCTTTGGAAGCAGACGGGACCGTGCGTGAACAGTTGCAGAGTGCCATGAAGCGGACGCATTCGATCAGCAGGAGAAGAAACTCCTTAGCGCTTGATGCCGAGGAAGCGTATGGAGAACTTCCTGTCAACGGGAAACGTGAACTCCAGGAGTGGTCTGGACTTGATGCAGGTACCGTGATATTGAACTCAGCTTGCCGGCCCGCTCGGGCTTTTTCTCAAGCAAAGGTCTTGGGAGCCAAAGCCGAAACGGTTTTCCCTTCGCAGCTGCAGAGAGGTTTCTGGCTACACCGTCGTGGCCGACAAGCTTAACCAGGCCCGTCCTGAGGATGAGAATTGCGCAGGGGCCTTTCCTACACAAGAAGCATGCGAGCTTAACAGGCGCGCTACAGCTCCCACTTTGCCGCCATCCACCGTGGGCAGTACTTTGCCGAAATGAAGACTACGACGGTGCGGAAGCTTCTCCCGGAAACGTGGGGCTTCCTATGTCCCTGGGCAGCATGTGGACTGCTGTCTGTGCCAGGCCTGAGTGGTAGCGAGATGGGACAAAGGTCAGTACCGGGAGCGAGTTCTGCTGAAAGTGAGAGCCCGGTTTGCGGAGACAAAGCCGTCAGGTCCCGTGCACACGCCCGATGGCTCGCCGTGCGGGCTGCTGAATCACCTCGCAAACTCCTGCAAGCCGGTGGTGGAACCTTGCGAGGAGGGCGCTGCCGAGGCGGTAGCACTCGCCCTGGCTGCGATGGGCGCTGAGGCCGGAAACGCTGAGCCGCTCATAAGGCTCATACTCATCGGATATCTTCAGGCTTTCAGGGCTCGGGCTCCGGCTCCGACATTTTTAGGTTCTGCTTATGCCACTCAGCGCACTGCCAGGTCTGGGGCGACTCTGGGACCTACCGCGCCCCAGCAGAGACTCGTGGCAGGCCTTTGAGACGTGTCCTGAGCTCAGCAGAGTCCGCTGTGCCCACGCATTCTTTTGCCGAGGCATGCATGGATCCTCGTTGACGGGCGGCCAATTGGTGTTATCGAGAGGACACGGTTGCATCACGCTGAGCAGCAACTCCGCAAACACAAGATCAGCGGCAAGCATGGCGTGGCGTGGCTGAATGCTCACAATGCTCTCAGGTCTTCTGATGTGGCCGTGTCAGTTGCAGGGGCCAGATGTCCATGCTAGTTGTGAATTACAGCCGTTCGAAGGTGCCGAAGAACATGGAGATTGTCTGCATGAGCCGGCGCTGGGGCAAGCTTTTTGTTGGTCTCTTCATCTTCCTCGGGCCTGGACGACTTGTTCGGCCGGTGCGCTGTTTGCGCACAGGTCAAACGGAGTGGATCGGGTGGCTCGGGCGCAGCGAGCGCTGACCTGGGTCTGTCCCTTCAGCGCCGTGCCGCAATGCCAGGCCATTGGAGCAGCTGTTCCTCAGCGTCTCCGTCCTGCGCGGCGAGAAGGATGCAGCGCACCTCCTGCTGGACCAGCCGCCGACAGAGGACTTAGAATGCGTTTGCAGTCAAATCCATCAAGCTGCCTTTTGTCCGCTGTGCGGGATGAGCCACAAATCGTCCCTGAGCCTGAAGTGCTGGACAGGAAGACATGAAGCGCGACGTGCCCGAGCAGCTCCCTCTCAGGCAGTGGTGAAATGTGGCATTCCGTTAACTGTCCTTGACTGATGGCCCACCAACTGCCATTCAGGTTCACTCATGAGGAGCTGAAGCCAACCGAACTGTTTTCCACGCTGGCAGCTCTCACGCCGTTTTCCAACCACAACCAAAGCCCGAGAAACATGCCGCTCGGCGTAGTTCTCGGTCGAAGCAAGACCCTTTCTGGGAGCTTGCTGGTGTGCTAAGCAGGTACCAATGCCAAATGCTCAAGCAGACAATGGCGACTCCATACCACAACCATGACTTCCGACCGGACAACAAAGTCTTCCGCGTGTGGTGCCCCCAGAGCCCGCTGGTAAGGACCGAGATGCACCTCGGCACGGAGGAATCCGATTGTGGGCTTAGTGCGATGCCTGCCACAAGTGCGAACACGGTGAGCTGGAAAAGGTACGACAGGGTGGACTGTGACGAGCATCCCATTGGAACAAACGCCGTTGTTGCAGTGATCACGTACACAGGACAGGCTGAAGTTCTTTTGCAAATCTCTTGCAGCGGCTTGCATGAATACCTCGTGCTTGATGAGTGATCGTCTGTTAGCCGGGCCAGGATATGACATGGAGGATGCCATGATCATCAACAAGCAATCCTATGAGAGGGGCTTCGGTCACGGCGTCGTGTGACCCGGAAGAAATGGTGTTTTCCGGTTCAACAGGTCCTTCCCGGTTGGGGTCACAGTACTTGTGCATCTCCCGTGTTCCTCCTGGTGAGCTCATTTGAGTGTGTTTTCTGGGCTCCAGGTTTCCCTGTATCTGGCCTTGGCTTCTTCTCCACTGCCTGTAGTGTTGAGGGTCACCTGCTTCCGCCTTCATTGCTCCGACCTTCTCTTGTTTTCTTCACCGGTCTGGTCCAGCACCTGTCACCTGTCCTGCTTTGTGTTTCGTGTTGCTGTGGTTGTAGCGTGATGGTCTCCGTGTGAGAGCCGTCTTCGATGGTGTGCTTTTACTCGTACGGCGCCATGCGTGCATTGTTTCTACAGTGATTCTAAAGCATTGCTTGCTTGCATTTGCTGCACTTTGGTGTGGTGGCCCTCTACAATTCTCCGGCGTTCGTCCTCATTGCGCTTGGAAGAGCACTCTCTCCGTATGGCCTTGCACCCGGCAACCACTCAATGCGTCCAGCACGAGAATAGATTTCCGACTCACAGGATGCTTTTATGCTTTGTCGGTTGATTTTCCGGCAGGCAAAGTTCAACGCACTCGTTTGTTGTTTCGTCGGATTAGCCTCCAACTTAGTACGAAGCTAGAGCCTAATTAGTGCAAGCCTGTCTCGCTCAGCTGCGCTCCAACGAAAGCTATCACATGCACACGCTGACACCCGCTCCATTCTGTGGGTGCCAGATGACAGGTGAGGTGCACCCAGATAGCGAGATGCACATGCCCCACCCTTGGGCGCAAACCCAAGAAAACAAAATCCTGCTGAGTGTCCAATCGCCAGCGCTTTTGACAAGTTGGCCCAGCGCTTCGCTGCGTCAGCATTCAATCCGAATTTGTTGCGCAGAGAAGCATTCATTGCGACCGCGCGGGGGGAAAATTAAAGTCATCCACGCCACTCCCGCCACTCGCGACACTCGCTGCGCCCGTTCCACTCGCGCCAAGTGGCGCGAGTGGTGCAAGCGAGTGGAATGAGTCCGTGGCGCCAGTGGCCCCAGCTGTTCCATGCGCTTCGTGCTTAGGGTTTAGCGTGAACTACCAAAACCTACCAGGATTTAGAATGCAAAACGCAGGCCTCAGGACAGTCCCTTCTCTTAGAAAAAGAGCTTACAGCGTAGTCTATGGCAGTTTAAACTAGGGTTGCTCTACTGCTCTAGTCATCGAGAAGCCTCCAAAGTTAACGTAGAAGCCTTCAAAATGTAGTTAAAGTTAGGCTTCTATAGCAGTGCCTGTGGGTTTGGGTTCGAGGTTTGGGGTTCAGTAGGGCGAGTGGCACGACTGGCACGTTCCGCTCGTCCTGTTCCACACTCGTGAATGTGCTGGACTTGGCATGGGGTGCAGGGCGGGTGGAACGAGTGGCGCGAGTGGCTCAGGGCTTACCGTGAACTATGAAAACCCTACTTTTTCGTAGGGTTCCTATATATTCGCTATTAGGGCTTAGAATAAGAACCTACATCAAAGTAGACTATGGTAGCTTAAGCTAGGGTTTAATGTGATTTTTTTTAGTTTGACTCTACGGCTCTAGTCATCGAGAAACCTCCAAGCTTAATGTAGAAGCCTTGATGTTCAGTTAGTTCGGAATTTGTTGGACCTGGAACGGGGCACGGGGCGCGGGCCGAGTGGAACGAGCGGCGCGAGCGGTGCGAGTGGCGCCAAGCGAAGGAACGAGTGGAACAGGTATAAGGCATGGGGCGAGTGAAGTATTCATCGATCGCACACAGACACAAGCTCAGCAGCACAGTTCGGGTCAAGGCGCACAGCCCCCGCCGTTGGTTGGTACGAAGCCCTGGACTCTGGGCTGTCCGGAGCACTCGATTGGAAGCTTGTGTGTCATTACATGTTTGGGATCGCAGGCGGGGCAGCGCGGGGCTTCTGATTTCCATCAAGCAAACTGCAGGATGCCGATAGCCAAAGGAGGCCCAACTGATTCAGGTTCGAGCGTGCGCATCGTCGAAGCTGTAGTCTCCAAATAAGAGCCTTGCTCCAACAGAATTGAGCTCTGAACGGCCAGAAGGCGACAGCTGCGAACTTTGTGACTTGAACTGTAATTGCTTTTGTCTCAAGGTACAAAACCAAAATCCTGGATGCATGCGACAAGTTGGCAAGTAAAGACCAGCAGGAGCACTCAGGGTAGGGGTAGGGATCAGCATGCCTGCCGGCGTTGTTTGCCCAAATCTTTGCATCTGTCACCCTTCCAGCCGACAACACAGGAGCTGAACCACTTCACGAACGTGATGTCGAAGGGTAGTCAAGTCCAGCGCTTTTCGCCGAACCTCGGGCTTGCAAGGATCCCTGGCAGTAGCTGCTGGCTTAAACAGCAAGAAACACAAAGCCTATAAGATCCTATAAGTAGATTGGGGAGGAAAGTGGATTGGAGCTCCGGGATGCTCGAGTGTGGGTGCTTTTGCCTCTCACGCATGAGGCATTTGGAGGACGACGGTTTCCCACCTGTCGGGACATATCTCCAAGCGGGTGACCATCTTTACTGCACAGTCAACTACAAGGGGGACCCGCACATCGAGAAATACAAGGACCTGAGCTGGCTTGAACGTCTCCGTCGGCTCGTGTATGCCGCTGGCCATCGTTCTGATATGTTGGCTTCAGGACGACGAGCCGGCCTATGTCGAGCAAGTTGTCAAGCTGGACGGCTGTCATGTGATTGGATCGCAGCCATGCAAGCGCGCGATTCTGAAGCTTGTTAACCAGTCGAGTAAAGGCTGTGTGCTTCCGGTTGCGGCATGTGCTGATGCTGAAACTGTTGGAGCCACATTCGTACCGGAGCCTGATAGTTCGCTTAAATGTCACTGCAAGGAAGCTTCGCTACACACGAAATCCCGTCGTTGGCGACAAGTTTTCCTCGCGTCATGGGCAGAAAGGCATCGATTGGACATCTGACACATTGACATAAATTAGTGTCGAGGAGACTACTCCATTGCGATCTCCGTGCCTTTTGCTCTAGCTCTAGCTCCGCTGCCCTAACTTGACGCGCTTTGCGGGCCATTTGTTGCGTTTTTTCAAGTTTCATGGCGAGTGTCTGGGAGGTGTGATGAGCGTTCTCTGGCCGGGTGAAGACATGCCGTTTACCGAGGGAGGACTCACTCCCGATATTCTTTTCAATCCGCATGGTTTCCCATCTCGAATGACGATCGGAATGCTGATAGAGTCCCGGCAGCCAGGCGCTCTTTTTCGGTTTAGTTGTATACGGGGTGAGATCCGGTGTGAGCATTGTGAACATCGAGAGTTTAGCTTCCGATGACTGCCCTGACGGTGCCTCCAGGAAAGCATTGCCGGTAAAACGGCCGCCCTGGAAGCTCGCAAGACGGCAGATGCAACGACCTTCCGAGAATTTCGGCGGATCTCAGAAATAGCCGCTGATAACATCCTTGGCCCTTCGGCCCTTCTCCTTCGCTTGATGAGCACGAGCGATCCTGTCGTCCTTCTGCAAGGAATACTCCGGAGCCTACGGTGTCGATGGCAACGATGGAGATCCGTTCCACCACGAGCAGGAGGGGTTCTGGAACCGCTAAACTTTAAATCATTGGGATGGTCATGCGCTTCTTCTGAAAGGGCACCGGGCTGCGGCTGGGCACTGCGTCAGTATACGGAGGTTGTGAGGGGTTGTCAGGGGATGTGAGAGATCAAGAAAAGACACAAGTTGGAGCCTTGCCAAGTGTCACGCCTGTGACGCTGGCATGTTGACAGCCCTGTTGATGAGCCGAGTTGGAAGTCTGATGCGCAGAGCGTGCACGGCTCAGCTATGAACGGCTGAAACCTTGCACCAGCGGAGGAACCTTCTCATGGTTTTGGCATAAAAGCTGCCGACTACTTCGGCCAGACGTGGCCTGCTTTGCAAAAGTTCTGCAGCCTACGCCTGGCAGACTGGCGAGGCCCAGGATCGTCTGTTGCTCTGATTTCAGGTTGAAAACCCATGGCTACAAACGCCTTGGAACAGAACGCCACTTGGCCTTTCTCACAAACGGGTGCTGAAGCCCTTCAACACGGAGGCCCTGAGAATCCCTCGAGTGGAAACCAACTGATTCTACGGGTTACAGTGTTCATGTTTTCGACAATCTTCACAGCACATCGGGGTCAAGCTGACCTGGCCTCAGCATCACGATCGACTACACTAGACTTGGCTTGGGGAACGCGGTTGTGCGGGATCGCCACGCCCATCGTCAAAGGTATGTACTCCGGAATCCACGGCACTGAGATCGAAGCCGACATCTTCATTGGTGTGGTGTGACTTGGCTTCCTTTTCAGAGTCGGCATTAAGACCAAGATACTTGTGCTTGCATCTCACACGTCCCTCCGGTGTTCAGCCATCTCGGATGTCGCAGTTTGCCTGTTTGCCTTGCCCCCCTCATTGATGCTTGTTTTTTCTGATCTCGAAACAGTAGTTCAGTGTGGGCTGCAGGCTGCAAGTTCGCTCGCCAAGACTATACCAACCTTCGGTTTCTTACGGAGTGTTGAAGAGTTCGCTCAGACTTGTTTCGCAAGGACCTCGCCCGAAATTGCTCGACGAAACAAGGACTGTATTGTTCAACCTTTTCCCAACAAATTCAACGGGTCCAGCACTTTTGGCAGCAACTCACCGTAACTCACCATCAGATACCGAGCCCCCCGGCATGCCCAAATCGCTGATGATGGCTGGCTTATTCGTTCGCTCCTGTTTCACGGCGAAACTGTTTTGTGTTAATCGGTCGGCTACTTAGAGAGAAAGCTGCAGGGGTTGCAACCCTGTAGGTCCTGTAGGTCTGCAACGGAATCTGTGTTGCGGTTAGGTTCACTCGTTTTTCGAGCCGATCACCACTGGCAGCTCGGGTCTCTTCTTTCCATTGTGAAACCCTTGCTTGTGAAGCGTCTTCCCTGTTGTATTCTTTGGTTTCTCTCCTTCGTTGGCCCGTCTGCCCCCGCTCTTGGATGCTGTCTGTCTGTGAATCTCTCTTCTCGGCCTAGCATTGCCTTCAGCAACGTACCAGCCGAGACTTGAAGTCCATCGCATGAATCGCATGAATCGGCAGATCGCCGTGCCGTCATCTCAACGGCACTAGAAGAGTCTTGCAACACAACAGAACACAACCGAAGATACGAAGCCTCTGCAGCGTTTGGCGAACCTTTGAGCTGGACCTTTTCACACAAGTCAGTCTGGGCAAAGGGGCGGATTATCGGGAGAAAAGACTGCGGTTTTTTGCTTGCACGGCAGACCGCCGTGGATTTGCAAAGAGGGATCACACAAAGAAGATGGTGAAGGTTGGAAGGCGGACGCGTTGACTTAGCGGGAAGGGGTCGTAAAGAAAACGCTACGGCAGTACGGCTTTGGCCTTACGTGCCCACCTATACATGGGTTCAGGGACGTAATAGCGCAGGTATTATCAGCGCCTGCGGCATCTTGTGCTGGCCACTGGGCATGTAGACTCGGTGCAGACGGCACGAGGCACCGTGTTCAAGTCAACCCACTGTGCCAGCCCAACTCAGGACAAGGCGCAAGTACGCGCACGAGGTACAAATGACAGGATCACCAACCAGCCTGTGAAGGGGCGCAAGCGACTTGGCTTTGTGAGCGAAGAAACTCTTTTGTGTTATGGTCGGTAGTCGGTACATGTCGGTCCAGTGTGGTCCTCTATTGACGTGCCCAGTCTGTTGCGCGATGTCTCAAGAGATTGCCAAGGAGAAAAGGCGGAATTCGATTCGGAGAGATGGAGCGTGACTCTTTGCTGGCTCACGGTACAGCTTTCCTCCTGCACGATCGACTCATGCGCAGCTCTGACTACGATGTGGCCTATGTGTAGCTGAGCTTGAAAAGCCCTTTTTGAGGCATGATCACGTGATTGCGCCAGCAATAAGAATCTAACTGTAGCTTGCACTTACGACAAGCTGTCTCTGTCAATGCTCGGCCGGCTCGCAAGTGTAGCGAGCACCATCGAGCACCCCAGGTGTCCACGCTGTGGCTCTGTTCTTTCGCCCCAGGCGCACACAGGCAGCCGGGTCGGACTCTGTAAGGATGGTGCTAGCGGCTAGCGGTGTGTGCATCCGCTTGCCTCGAGGTAAGCCCGGAGAGTGGACGACAGGCGAGGCTGGAGACCCCTGGCAATGTGCGTCCTGCAGCCGCTCAGGATGCACCATGCATCTAAAGTCGTTGCATCGTCGGGTCTCCTCTTTGACAGAACAATCCAGTCTCCAAATGCGCTGTCTCACGCCCATGCTGAGGTCGGAAACATCAAAGGATTGTGAGACTTTGCTGCAGCTCTGATGTCCATCCTAGTTGCAGGGCTGCAACCGAAACTTGTGCAGGTTTGATAGACCAGAAATATCTCCTGGCTCAGTAATGCAGTGTCATGCAGTGCCCCTCGACCATCGGATCGGGATTGCCAGTTCAACGTCTGAACTCAGGAAGTGCCATGCAATGCCCGTGCCATGGGTATTCAGGCAATCAGAGGGGTTAAGACGAGTGTGAGATTCCGGTATCTTTCCACGTGTCTTGTATCTGTTCGTTCTTCTTGAGCCCGACAGAAGGTATCTTGCTTGTGAACTTGCCGCGATGAATGCTGCTTAGAATGCAACGCGAATCGGAAGGGGTGTTGGTGCTGCGGTTGCGGCGCAGTCAGGCTGTGTATCGGTAGATTCTTCAAGAAACTGGCCGAGTGTGGCAGCGAGACGAGGTGCGCATGGACGTCAAAGTCACGGACCGCGGTCGGCAAGTCTCGCTGTCCTCCGGCCCTTGGAAGGGTGACCTAGCCGAGTAGGGCAACCAAGGCATATCTGTCCAGGTGCAAAGAGGCTGGAAGAGCAGGGATGCGATTCGCTGCCTGCCCTGGCCAGAGCACTAGTCCAGAATTTCAGACCGCCGTCCAAAGAGCTCGACGGGCGGCCGTAGGATGAACCGTCTCGATTTTCAGGACGGCATGAGGCGTCAATCAAGTTGTTTGCAGTTGCTCTGTCGTCCGGAACTTCGAGATGCGCTCGTTTCGTTAATGAATGCAGCTACTTTTGTAAGACTGCGATTGGTTCAACACCAAAAGAGCCAACGGGCTAGCGTTCAGTCTTCAGTGCTGTGCATTTCACGTATAAGCTGGCCACTCGTGGCCCTCCGGTGCACTCTCCAGGCTTTCGACAGGCAGAGCAGTTGCTGTCGGCTTCCTACCACCCTGGGACGGCGGCGGCCTCAGAAATTCTTGGCATACCTCGCGGCCATGAATCAACAAGCCGCGCAGATGTTGGGCTGCATGGTGACGCAAGACTTGACTTCGCCTTCGGAGGGCCTTCCAGAGCCCGGTAGCACACACTAGCACGGCCATGAGAAAGGTCTGTTCGCTCCTTTCCGTAATCGTTCCAGAGAAGAGTCGGAGATGACTCCGAGCCAAGCGGCCTTCCTCACAGGTGGACACCGGCGAGGACCTGAGGTCTGGAGCATCAGCCCTTTCGCTGCATTCAGGCTCCGGTCCTGCATCGTCTGCTGCCGGGTACCGTGCAACCAAGGAAAACAGGGTCATGTTCTCGCTGCAAGCTGCTGCAACTGTTCCTGTCGGCGGCGCTCTTCGCATCACTGCAGCCTGTGCTCAAGGCGAGTAGCGCATCAGGTGGCAGTCTTTGTGGTCTTCGGTCTTTGGCTTGAGCGGGCAGACACGGTAAACAGGGCCGAAGCACCGAGGCACCATACCGCTTCACCTTCGCAGTGGATTGCCTGTTCTCCATTTCTCCCTCCGCTACCATCCTGGCAGAGCTCCAAGGCGCTCAGACTGCTCAGATCTATGAGGACCTCCGAAGGGACGTTCGGCTGGAGCTTCGGTTGTGCCCAAGCGTTGTGAGGACTTGCCTCGACTGCAGTCCTGCATCGGCCTGCAAAACACGGCAAGGCGCGCGGGGCCTGAGCGGAGGTCGCATGCTCTTGTCTAGACAGTTAGCTTCCTGCTGTGGCTCGCTGAAGGCTCCTGTTGGCGGAGCGCATGGACGCTGCCATCCGTTGCTTTCCCGAGTTAGCCCGGGTTAGCATATCCTTATCCTTCCTTTTTGACCGTTGGTTTGTAGCAAAGCGCTTTGAACCCCTCACACACTTCTAAAGCGTCCGCCGGCACTGTCTTGGCACGGTGCGAAATGAATGCTACATTGCTACATTGCTACATCCCGTAAACGGCTCGAAAACATCGTCCCGGCTTGAGAGAATGGGCCAAATGGCACATTTTAGTTTCCCGGACGCGTGACTTCGTTCGGCTGGACTTGCACATTCAAGCCGTCCCTGGCCCTCATTCCAAGATTTTGGTGTGCCCTGATGCATTGACAGCACGTGTGCATCTATTGCAATGGATATAGACTCGGGCCATGTCTTAAGCCGGCTGGTTGGCCTGATTTCACACAGGCACCAGACAGCCTTGCTTTCCTTGCTCACCCAGTTGGAAGATCTTGACAAATGCGAGAAATGTCAGCAAGCTTGGTTGCTTGCTGGCTTGACAGGGTTGGCTTGGCTATTGCACTTCAACCTCTCTCGACTTCTGCTTGCTGCTGTAACTTGGTGATAGCTCCCGGCAAGTCTGTGACGGGTCTTCGTGCAGGCTGTCTACCGTCAGTGCAAGCACTGGCAGTTGTTTGAGAGTGTGATTACGATTGGCGCTTCTGCCTCCAGACCTCGCCCAGCAACCAGAAAAATGATGCCGTTTCCGCATGGAACAGCCTCTGAGCCCTAGACTCCTAGACAAGCTTGGAGTGAGAGTGGTATCGAAGATGTAGGCAGGGAACACCTCTCCTCCATGGGATCTTGTTCCAGCTTCCGGTTGTGGCATGGGCTTAGGTTGTTTTGGCTGCTGTAGGTACTGTAGAGATCAGGTGTCCCTCACCTGTCACTTCCCACGACTTGCGAGGCTACTCGTTTCGGCTTGCTGTGGCCAACCCAGCTCTACCCCATCCCAGCAGCTTGAGCCGAGATGAGGACGATTTTGTGGTACCGAAGTGGCATGCATTGGCATGCCTCTTTATTGATCAAGTGAGACAAGAAATTGCATGCGCAAGGCTTTCGCTTGCTCCCGCAGCAAAGGTGATTGGCCATTTCCGCAAGACATCTGGCGCTTTGAGACTTTAGATGTACCTCTGCAGCACAAAGCCCGCCATGCTTCGCCTGGAGGGTGGCGCGGCCTTGAAGGTATGATGACTTTGAGCTCGTTAGGGCAGCATCGTATGTAGCACTTCCTGTATACTCGGAGAGGTGGCAGTTGAGCAGCTTCTGATTGTTAATCCCGCATTCTTTCCAAGGCACAAGGTGGCGTGCTGGACGTGGCGCAGGTGAAGGCAGTTCTTAGCACCCTTGATCTTGACAGATCATACAACAAAAACATACATTGCCACGGAACTGCATCACTTCAGCTGCGTAAGGCGTGTGGACAGCTGCAACATACCAGTTAAGATGGTCGAGTGAGAAGGGAGGCATAGAAGAGGCAGAGCATGTGGACACGAGTTACACATCACATGTTGTGCGATTTTGTGTAGAGGTCGAGAAGGAGCGCAAATGGTGTCAGTTGGTATGAAGCAGACAGCAGATGAATCTGAAACAGGTCACCGAAACGAGTTGCTTTTGCAACAACATGGGTTCGACAAGATAGCATCGTGCAAGTACATCAGCACAGACGGCCCGCCGTTTGAAAAGCCAGCCTTTTCCACAACCGTGCCAGACATGAGCCAACAAACGGAAGGATCATTTTGGCACGGCTGGCGGATGGAGCTTGAAAGCCCCGAAGACGGAACGTCAACAAATGGGAGAGGTACTATTCGAGTTCAGGGAATGGAGATTCATCGCGGCTCGGATCCTGTCATGCCCCCTTGCTCACAACAACTCCTTCAACGAAGATCCGCGCGAGTATGTACGTAAAAGAGATCGGCGCAAGAAATTTCCGAAAATGACCATGGCGGGTGGGTCACAGTACTTATGGCCGCACGGGACTGGTGGTGCGCCAGAGACGAATCAACCCACGCAGGGCAACTTGTTGGAGTCAGACTGCCAGCATCCCCGTTGCATCGCACTTGCTACGACCTTGACGAGCACTTGGACTGCTCATGCCTGAGTGCAGAGTGCCCCTTGTTTTGCCTCTTGTCACGAGCATGCCACGTTCTGGATATTTACCGATTTTTCTGCTCGTGTTCCTCTCGTGCTACTCCCTAGCCTCGCCAGACCCAGGATAATCGGCTGATGCTCTGTAGCTCCGCAAAAGTGATGGCTGATACTGCGCCAAGCTGACATGATCCAGTCTTCTTGCACGGACCCCTTTCCTATTGAACATGGGGAGATGTGCTCTCGCTGCGTGCATGATCCCCAAAGCCGCCGAGCAAAGATTTCCGGGGAGCTCGGGGTGCTCCGAAAGTTTCAAGTCGGGAAGGATGGCGCCTGAGGCATGGCACTGACCCTGCAGTCGTTGCTCACTTCCGCTCAATCGCTCTAGTAGAGGGCGAAGCTGGAGTAGTCGTGATCTGTGGAAGGCTATGGCTGTGCGTTCGTTCGAGACTACAGTGACTACAGACTGTTCAGGCGTTCTTTCTCTGGACCTTCACTCGCTCCATCCTGGTGCCGTTCGTACTTGGCGCGGCCGAACAAGGCCTACTGAGCTGAGCAGAGCCAGATAGAGCTGCCTTCCGCATAGACGCCTTGACCAGACAGGTGTCGTGAGCGTGGAGCTGGCTCCCTCGCTCACGCTTCCGCCTTTGGGCTCGGTGTTGCCTGGCTCAACCGCTTGTGTCCGTCTCCCGTGGTACCAGTTGGTCTCATGAGGTTAATCACAGCTCCACCTGGCTTCCAGCTCCTGGCAGAGCCCTGTGTAGGCAGGAGTGGGGCAGCTCTGCGGATTTTGCGTCGCACTTTAAAGATGGAAGGCTTCTTTCCAGACACCTTCGGCAGCGCTGAGGGCTTCAGCCCTGTTCCTGCGGGGACGACCTGCATGCGAGGAAGCGGGAAGCTTGAGCTCATCGACTTTACTCTGTCTTTGACCTCTGCAGTCTCTGCAGGACCTGGAGGTCCCAACGTAGTGAAGTTGCAGCTGGACGACTTTTCCTACCTTGCTGCAGGGGTCTTCCTGCGTTTCAAGCTTGGCGTGCTTCAGCAGATATGGGCTAGGGACACTCTGGCAGCAAAGCAAGTTCAGACGGCACTGAGGTGGTGAATCCTTCCCAGTACATGTCAGCGGCAGAAGACTGGTTCATCGCCTCCGTTGAACAAACGGATTTAGGCCAGAATGGGGTGAACAGGGGGGCCATCGCAGGAGACTGCAAGATCGACCTGATGCTTGAGCACAAGACATCTTAGCATCGAGTCTTGCCTTGGGCAGGTGACTCTTACTTGGAGCAGAATCCTGCTGTTGCAGGCGCCATCCACCTGCCAAAAAACACACGCTCCAATTCCGAGTCCTCGTGTTTGCCGTGTGAGGCTTCTCGGTGCACCTCCGGCTCGCCTCTTTTGAGCTTCTTCCCAGCTCAGCAAATGCGGCACGTGCAGCGACCGTCCGCAGCATGGCCTTGCCTCGTTTTGCCGTGCGTCGCACTGCTCTGCAGCTTTCAGAAGCTCATGAAGTCGGGTTGAAGTTCCTTCAGCAGCGCCTTGCAAGAGAGCCAAGCACCTCATGCACGAATCTTCTGCCAGAGCCCTTCGGCAAGGTATCGAGTTCTCGTTACCGGAGGATCTTGGAGTCTTCCAGGTGGTCTCCAGCACCGAGGAAACACGCCTTTTTGCCTTGCTGTTCCTTTCTTCTGAGACCATCCTTGGGATCATCCTTGTGTGTGGAAGGAGAGCTTCATCGTCGTGGACATGCCGCCTTTCTTCATTGCGCCAACGATTCTTGGAAGCACCAGCACAGAACCCATGGAGGGCTCGGGCTTGGCATGGCACTGGAAGCCTTGTGTGTGAGGGAGGGAGCTGGAAATCATACCGTGGAGCCGGTGGTGGCAGACTTTGAGGCACGTAGCCGGGACCTGGACCGTGCTTAGCTGCTTGGATCCCCTTGAAAAGTCCCGACCAGGCAGCAAACATCCTCCTGATGAAGCCTTGCGCATCATTCACTCGCATCTCACCGGATGCCGACTTCTTCCCAACTCAGGCAGGGGAGCCTTGCAGGCCCCACTGTTCTTGCATCTTACATCCATCTTCTTTGCAGGCAGATGCCTGCATTGCCCTTCCTGGGGCAAACAGCTTCCGTTTGCTCTTGACTGGGAATTTGGACGTAGGACCCCGTGACTCGAGACGCTGCATATTCATCATACCGGGTTAAGCGGTAAGCACGAGGAAAGCATAAGGAAGCAATGCTTGAAGGGGACACGGGTCACTGTGGAATCTTGAAGGACCCAGCTATATCTTCGAAGTGGGGGTGTACAACCCTGCTCTTACAGCAGTTCGCCAGCACCAGATATCCCAGGCTGGGGGCGCACCAGAGATCAGAGTTTGTGCTTTGCCTAATTCGTCTGCTTCTTCATTGAGGCCAATTTCTGGCAGCTGCGCCTGGTGCGGCGAAGCGCTGGCCGTGATTCCACAGCGGCTGGACGCGCGGCGACTGGCTACCAACTGCTGCCTGTGCTGCAGGACAGGCGTCTCAATGTTACGGATTACGATGTTTAGGTATTCCTTGGTTGGACTAACAGTGACTAGCAGCAGGATTTGGACTTCTTGATGTGATCCGATGTGACGTCTTCTCCAGGTCGACTGCACTGGCCTTGCATGCACCTAGTGAGTTTCCCCCAAAATGTGCACAGTTTCCAGGACCCAGCAACTGAGAAGGTATACATTTTACCATGAACCGTCGGTAGAGCTGTCCGCAATGACTTGGTTCGTGTTCGCAGATATCTCAAGCCTCGACACTGTTAAAGCATCAAGAGCACGGCGATGCTGTTTCTGCGTGACACATGCGTGAACGGCAGAACTATTGGGTTTTGCTGGTTGTTGGTGCATGAGCTCCCTGCCATGCAGGACTGTATTATCACGGTCGCTTGACAGCAACTGCCTCCAACAGACTCAGCCCGGCAGCAGTGCAGGTTGAGCTTCAAGTTCAGGGGTAAAGCATTTGCTTGCCCATGCTAAGCGGCTTTTGGAGCAGAGGGAGAGCACCATGACCACGGGCACTGAAGGCGGCAACCAGTCCCATCCCAGTGGGCTTCGACACCACCGTGGAGGTGGCTTTCCGCGCCTCGCTGCAACTATCCTTAAAACTCTGGCACCTTGGCGTCATTTGTGTGCATCTGCTTGAGGCCCGGTCTCGACATTAAGTGCTGCAAGCGGCGATCGCATTGAGGTGCGACCACCTGCCAGAACCCCGGACATTTGGCAATTGAAATCCTTGTAATGATCACGCCGGCGGGTGTTTCTCTCCGATCTCCGGCTTTAGGCTTCTCTGCAACCGGCGCTTCCTTGCACGATTTCAGTGGATGGCGCGCCAGCTCCGAGACGTGCAACAGTCGTTTGAGTTGATTGCACCGCTGTTTCAATTCAAGTATATTCAATCAAAAGAGCTTAAGGCATCATGTAGTGATTGGGAGCAAAAGGCTTCTGCTTGTTTTGTGTCCTTACCTCGCAGCTGCAGGTCTCGGTCAGTTGCTTCATAGAGAACAGCAGCCTGGTTCTACGTTGCTCGGCCAGTTTGAGAAGAAGTCGGCAGTTTCGACTTTGAGACTTCCTATCACTGTCTTGCAAACATCCGAAAGACGGCGCTTGAAGACCTCAGTGTGTCTGCGCGAAGCGTTGTGACGGTGCAGTGCTTGCCAAGGGTTCGAGGGCAGCGCAGTCGTGCCCGGACCTCGGTGAATCCTGGCAGCTGAACTCCTGAAGGCATTGGACCCATTTTGAGGTTGGGAGACAGCCAGGTACTCGCTGGGATGTCTGTGAACTCTGGTGGAATCCCGCAGCTTGGTCCTGAAATCCATCTAATCTGTGTCTGCAACCTGCGCGGAACGTGGAGGCTGCCTAAGACAGGGCCTAAGGCCTAAAGGTGTGTTTTCAAACAGCACAGAGCAGTTGAAACTTGCCTATAGAACGCAGCTCAGGTTGACGGCCACTGATGAGCAGAACCGCTGGGCAGCGCCCTGTCTTCAACCCTCACCCACCACTTTCTCCCAGCCCCAGAGTACTCCTGAGACGAAGCAGAAGTGGTTCGCGTCCAGGAGCGCAGAGCCTCGTTTCCTGTTGTCGAAGCTTGAACAGCCGGGCTTCCTTGCATTGGGAAGCCTTCGCTGGCTTTAGCTCAGCTTGCTGTGAATGATACTCGTAGGTTGAATCACGCAGATGTCAGATGTCCATTGCAACGGGAGGTGGAACCGAAGCTGTAGCTGCAGGTCGCGACCCAAAATGCTGAAAACAAGACATGGGACGAAGCGCCAGACGTCCCAGGCAAGCCTTTTTGCAAGATGCTTAACAGACTGGATGTCTGCATTGTCTGCAATGCTGTTTTTGGCCTTGATGCCAGAGTTGCCAAAGCATTAGTATCGTTGCATCGTTGTGATTTCGATGTTCGAGTGAACACACGCCCGAACCGTGTTTGCAGAGGCTTCACGATTTTCCCACGGTTGGAGGATGCACGGGTCAATCCAAAGGCCGGACGTTGCAGCTGCATGCAGTGTTTATCGAGTTTCTCGCGAGACTTGAAAGCCGCTTGGTGCTGGCGCGCTCCAGGACGTCTCCTCGATGTCGTTCGCGAACCATGCGGAGCTGCTTGGTTGCAAACCTCTGCAGACAGGGTTTCCGAGGAGTATCTGCCCTTTGCTGCACGATTGTGGTGTCAAGTAGGAACAAGGGCGCCAGTGATCGACCGGTAGCATCCGGCTCGATCGCTGTATTTTCGTCTCTCCTCATCTCCCTTCGCCTCGCCGTGTCATCATGGCATTCTCCACAGACTTCGCCGCGGCTGGTCTTGATGTGGCGGGTGGCACTACTTCGCCGTCTCCGCCTACTGCTTGTTCGCTGGTGGATGCGCCCATGACAGGCGGGGGTGCGAGCGCCGTGGAGCCCATGTCGGGCGACACGGCTGGTGACGAACCGGAGGTGCATCGTCGCCTCCGTCGTGGCCCCCTTGGCCCCCTTCGCCTTGTGCTACGCTCGTGGAAGCCCTCACTGCAGCCGCCCAAAAACAGGGACTGCCTCGATGGGGCGGCCGGGGAGGCCCAGCCCTTTTCTACGCCGACCTCCTTCGCGCCGCCACCGCTGCTTGTCGGCCCGCCCCTTCGTCGTCGACTATGGGGGCACCAATCAATCCTGGATTCAGTTCCGTTCCGCAAGGTGCCACTGCCGGCTTGTGTGCCTCAGGGCAGGTCACCAGGCAAGGGGCCTCTTCTTTGGGCGAGCCAGCCCGTCCTGGGTGCCGCTTCCCTGCCTCAAGGCGTCTTCGGCGTCTTCGTCAAGGGGGTCCCAGGTGACGTCGACCGTGTGCATCGCCAGGCGGTAGTTCATCGCCGAACAGAGCGCCTTGGAACCTTGCAGGGGCTTCGGCGGCTCCCTTACAACGCCAGCGACGTGGCGAGCAATATTGAACGCCAGATGGCCGAGTGCCACGCACTGGCCCACTGCGCCGGAGGGCGTCAAGCTGGGACCACATCGCCGGTGTTGGGTGAAGGCCTATCCGAGGACGAACATTGGGTGGCAACGTTCTGGAATGTTCACTCCTTTGGCGTCCTGCCGTGTCTGGAGCTGGTCGAGGAGGCTTGGGACGACCGCACCTCGGGGCGACATACACCACCGAGCGACAGCACCGAGGCTTCGACATGGGGCAGGTCCGGGCCGCCCCAGGCTGGACAACCCGGATCGTCTCGACCTTCTTGGCAGGAAAGGTGGCCAAGGCATCCCGCCTTCAGTCGGGTGAGCACAGGCACTACTCCACGAGCTCATCCAGGAGACTCGCCTGGGCAGGCCGGAGGTGGCCGACGCCAATGGGCAGTCAAGCGCCCAGGCCACCACTGCGGGACCTTCCGGTCCCGTACGCGACCGGTGTCACGCTGTGGTTCCACAGCCGATGCGGTGGGGCCATCCTCGTCGCGCTCCTCCCTGACTTGGTCAGCGCCTTGAACAGCCTTACTTTGCCACCTTTGGGTGCACGGGCCAGGCGGCCATCAAGCCGCTCTACGCCAGCACCGACTCGGAGGATGCACTGTCTGTTGGTTTACGGGCCGCGCATATCCTTCGCCGGCTGGTGGCAGAGGCCAGGCCCATGGAACGTGCCATGGCCTGGGCGTGTGGCCGGGCGCGTCTTCGTGGATGAGGTCATGCAGGTCTGCAGGTCCTCGGCGCGGACAGCCGACGTAGACTTCGCCTGTCATGGGGCTCCTGAGAGGCTTCTTGATCTTGTTATGTGGCAGGTGCCGGCGCCTGGTGGGGTGTGGGTGCGCCGGGCGCAGAAGTGAGCACCCCGGCACCGGCACCGAGTTTTCGGGCGGTGTGCCTGGCCGGGCGCAGTCTGCGCTACGACCAAAAAGGGGCCAATGAACCTTATAATGGGAGTGTGGTCAACATGTCTTTAGCGTAGTCTTGTTTGAGTAATTACTGCTACCGAGCCCGACTTGTGCGACATGGGTGGGCATTGGAAGGTTTGCCTTTGCATCCCCCGTGGCCATCCCTTCAGGGGCTTCTGCCCGTGTTGTGGCCCAGCTCTGAGATTTCGTGTCCGTGCTCAAGCTCCACTGGGCTATATTGGTTCGGAGCTGGAACACTCGAGGCACCTGGCGGCTTTACCCTCTTTGCCGCGACTTTCGCCGCAGAATTCTCTGCAGAAGCAGTGGCAATCGCCGAGGTGGTTCGGACCGGCGGAAGCAGCAGCAGCAGCGAAAGTCCAACGCATTCGATAAGGTGTACTCCAAAACCGAAACCCGCAGGCGGAGGTGATGGTCTGGATTCTGGCCGCCATCTCTCCTTCACAGCAACTCTCCTTTCGTCTCACGGTCGCTTGGCTATCAGGTTTCGGACACACATCTCTGCTCTGCACTGCATTTCGCCTCTTTCGCGGCTGAGGTAGGAAATCCCGCAGTCAGTCCGCCGCAGATACTTGACCATGGAAGGAAGAGTGTCTTCCCTGGATGATAGGGAGTCAGCGTTGTACTGCCGGCAGACTTATCGGCCGTGTGTGTTCTCGACCCATGATGCGCTTCAGACAGAACTGCCAGCCGTCCAGCACACAGCCCCAGCACAACAATTAGTAGTGAGTGTGGACCATGCAGAATTTATCTGACCCCCGCAGCCTTGCTGAGGAACCAATGGACGAGACTTGGCTACAAAGAGTAAATCCGAAAAAGCTGCGTGGTGTCGCAGGGAGGATCTGCGCAGCATGCTGGTCTGAAGGCTCGAAGTCCAGAGTCCTCTCAATGACACCCTGGCTCTCGACCGAGATATACCAGGCAGCCATGGTTGTCTGAATCGTAGCGTGTTGGTAGGTGAGCGGGTGCTTGCAGTTTGGACGCACAGGCTTCGTGGTTCAGTCAAGCTTCAACTCCTCCTTCATCGACACCTAGCCACAAGATTTGTCTTTGATGAGCCCGTTCTGTTGATCGCCGGCTTCCGTTGAAGATACGATGACATGTCACCATCTGGCGGCTTTCAGATTCAGAGAATACATTGCAAATGCGCGATGCCACTGGAGCTCAGGAAGCCGATGTGAACGAGCCTCTCGCCACTGTGCCCTCACCAGAATCCATTTCTCCTTTGTTGTTTGTGACTGCCAAAAATGGAGTACACGGTACGAGAGGCGTTTGTGCCAGGCGGAGAACTACGTCCACATTACTCTGGCAGTGACACAGCCGCTCTTTGCCGACAGCTTCGGCTGCCCGGTTGCAACGAAGGCCGATGCCTGCAAGGGTTGCCTTGAGTCACCGTGCATGCCCCAGGACAGAGCCAGCAGTGTACGTCCAGCGACAAGCTCTGCGTCTATGCGACGTGGCTTGAGGCACGCAGCAATACTGTGCAACCTCTCAGGCAGTGTTCTGCAAATCCGAAGTGCTGCGGCTGCAGGTGGTAGCTCCGGAGGGCTTCGTCTTTGCAGCGACCTGTGGCCGCTTGGCCAGTTTGCACTCTGTTCCAGGGCTCGGGCCGCGGTTTCGAGGCTTTTGGGTCCTCCAGCGCGTCGGCTCTGCGCACCGAGGGCTGCCGCCAGGCGTCGAATCACTTCGGGGCTCTCGGCAACTGTTCCCGTTCTGTGCCCTGGAGGCAGCCTGTGCCTTGCAGACGCAGACCAGTCGAACATTGCAAGGCAGCCCTCTACAATTGAGTCTCAGTGACTTTTCAGACTTTCAGTCAACAAATCTTCATCGTTTTGTGAGGAAGCTGCCAGGCGCAGAGCTTCAGGGTTTTCTCCGTAAGTCGCCCTTGTTTGAAGGAGGCTTGTCAAAGCAAAAGGCCTTCTGCATCGTGCGTTTGGTGCACTGTGCCTGCTTCTGCCAGGGTGCGCCTTTCTTTAACGTTGGAGGCCTTCACCCTCTACGAGTTCACGCTGCAGGCATGTCGTGATTTCACGCAGAGTAAGCGAATGTAAGCGAAATAAGAAGCCCCAAGATTCTGGGAGCCATCGAATTTGGCGGGCTTCCATCGAGGCCGAACATGTCATCGGAGTGCAGTCAGACTCTGATTGTTCAGGTTCGCAACGCCCTCTCCGTGCCTCTCCACAACGTCTGGGAGTTGAGGGCCGTACAGGCAGCTCTTTGAACCACTTTTGCATGGCCACGATGGAAGTTCCAGGATGGCATCGTCCGCGAACGTGACGCAAATGTGGAAGGCCCGGAGACGAACGGAACTGCTTTGGAGCAAGTAGCCTAAGTAGCCCTGTTCAGCTGCGAAGTGGAGACCACACCGTGCCAGCATGTGCGAGCCAAGAAAGGTTTCGCCCTTCGCCAACTCCGTACCGTGCGTGTCACGCCGGTCACAACACTAGCAGGCTCACGCGATGTCACGGTTCGGGGATCCCAATCTACAAACTGCTTGTCCAACACAGGTGCAGTGGATAACGCGGTGACAGCCTTGCTCCGTTCAGAGCGTCCGATCCCACCGAGAGCGACAGAGCCTCGTCACAGTTTTGTTTGTTTGCTGCAGCAGGACTCTGCACATGCCCTTTCTATCATGGCCGTTGGCAGCCAGCACAGGTGACCATGGCTGCGCCGCTGGGTTCCTTGTCCTACGCGCTTGTAGTTGGGATTGCTTTCGGACAAGCAACATCTGCGAGTAAATGCGAACTCGAAGGCTATTCTTTGTGCAACCCGGTGCAACCGGCACCTCGCGCTGTTGACGCGAAATTCTGTCTAGCTTGTATCTAGCATCGTCTCTGAAGGGCTAGGCTCGTGCTTGTTGTTTGTGTCGTAGTACATGCAGTTTTTGTATCTCACACGTTGGCTCTCCGCCTACAAAGCTCTGTTTGCAAGATGTGTCCTCGAAGCGACATGGCTGCCCAGCGAGGCTTCATTTTCGATGCATCCGAGGCGTCTCAGCCATAGAATGCCGCTGTTTGGATGCCTAACAGAACTGAATAGAACTGACCTGGACAGGTCTCCAGTTCGTTCCAACAGGAGAAAGCTCCGCTTGTAATGAACGACGTCACTTCGGAGGCCCGCAGCACACGCAGTGGCCCCAATGGCCCCAGTGTCCTGTCCTACAGGATGGAACCGAGCCTTCTGGAGCAACAATCCGTTTCTACGTGAGTGGCCTGGCTAATGTCCCAAGTGCTTGCATTCTCGGAGAGGCTCCTTGGACCGTCCTTTCATGCACTGCTGTCCGCGCAAAGGTCCACAAGACTATGTGCAACCAAACACCTACTTCTTCGTGAGTGCGCGGATCCGGAATCCTTCAGCTACCCCGAGCTCCAACTATTGGCCGCTGGGTCTGACCTAAGAATTGGCTGATTGAGAATTGCTGCAAGTGCCTGCATGTTCGGCGCTCTGCGATGTGATGATGTGCGTCGAGGTACTTCTACATCCAGACCCTGGCACGGCAAGGTAAGAAGCCTGTTTTCGGAACGGTAACCTCAAAAGATTTGCGAGAATAGCTGAAGGGTGTGCGGGCTCCGCACGTTTCGATTTGCTTGAAGGAGGTTCCTTGTCGGCCATCTGCCCGGAGGGTGAATGTTCCTGAATATGCTGAGGAGCCAGTTCATGGAGCACATTGATCTGCGCAAGTTTCTTCCTGGCTTCGTGATGTCGTACCAGATGCCCTACTTCCAGGCCAGCGGCGTGTGATATCGTGCTTCTTTTGTTGAGTGGTTGCTGAGGTGGGATTCTCGCGGCTTTTCCGGTAGTGGATCGTCATATTCGGGAGTGTGCTGACACAGCATCTCCCATCACTTAAGACTGTATGTGGCCACGAACTAGTCGCTGCATGCTGCATCCTGCGAGGTATATCCCAACTCTATACCCTGGAATCTGGGGACGGCCAATGATATTTCGCCGCTTGGCTGTTTAGCGGGTCATTGTAATTTTGTAGTGGCTCGACCACTTCCATGCACAAACCATTGCCGGAATGGTCGAAGCAGTCGCCTAATTTGTAGCTCTTGGTCGGAATTGTTGCAGTATCGAGATTCGGAAGCCGTGACGATGGGCGCATTCCATCTTCGTGCCTGGTTCAACCTGATTTGTATGCTGCAAGGTTGCTGTTTGTGACCTCGTCCGTGATCTTTATGGAGAGGTCGAATGCTCTTCCAGGCAGCCTGCAACAAGTCCTTGCGTTCTGTGCCGGCAGCTCCCTATTCTCGCAGCACGAAGGGACCACGGTTCTCGGTGGCGAGCTTCCTGAGATCCAGGTGCGCTGGGGCTACCGCTGAAGGCCCCTCGTGCTTCCGCTTTGCTGCCCGGGTTGCTGCCAGGCTGCCTCATGGCAGCTGTTGCTCGTGGCGCCCAGCGGCTTCAGCTTCCCGACACGCGGCCCTTTTTCGGAGTCGTACCTAGCCTGCAGAAACTTGAAATGTTTCGGTATCTCGATCCAACAGTGGCCTCACCAGCCGCAACTCACCCTCAACCCTTCCTTGGGTTCATGTGTCTGGAACATGCCAGCTGAATTACAAAGCGGCTTTGAGACTGCAGAGCGGTCGGGAAAGCTTGCCCTTGCCGGTACACTTGTGCTTCTTTCAGAGTCTCTGGCCGGTAGAGGCTTGATTGGTGCACGGCAAATTAGCTGCAGAACATTGGAGCCAGCTAGGAAGCTGCCCCCAAGCAGCCTTTCGGGATCCGTGCGGTGCAGGTGCTCTGGCTTCCAACGCTGGGGTGGCAAGGCAACGCGTGGCGAAGTGCAATGTGTTCTTGCAGTCGGCGCATTGCCCCGTTGTCGAAGCAGGAGTCTTATGACCAGCTCCCAAACACCCAGGGCACCCTTCGCTGCACAGTGCGCAATGCACGCACTGTAGCGCTACAGCTGCAGTTTGAGTTGCAGAACGCAAGCCACAGGGCAGGCAAGCTGGTGGTTCCATGCATATGCCAGACGACAATTTTGTTGTCGCTGTCTCTGTCTGGTGTTCACCAAAGCCTTGCTGAGCAAGGTGCTTGACGTCCCGGCGACCTATGTGAATGAAACCAGATACTCCTTCCGACTGAATGTGACCGTGGCAGATCAGCAGGAGCCGGGCACAGGAGTGTCTATTGCTCTTCGTGTTCCACGTTTATTCCATCATTTGAGCCAAAAGGTAATTGCCTGACCCTGCAGCTTGCCCCTTCCAGATCACCCGTTGCGACAGCACCATGCATAATTCTGTGCCTGCAGGAGGATGTGGCCCTCCAGCAGCCATGGACCCTGACTGTGCTGGACTGTGTGCCGCTTTTTCTGCTCTGCTCTGCTTTGTGCAGAAGACGTTTAAACTTCGCACCATTGGACATTCAAATCTCTTCTGCAGCGGCGATGGGTTAACTAAATCCGGGAAGGCAGAGGTGCTCTTAGTCCGCCCCTCAAAGCGGATGGACCTTTCTTTGTATTGATTTCTTGCAGGAAAGTGGCCAGATCTTGCATACTGGGGAGAGCCCGAGCCCGTTGCTGGGAGTTTTCTACGAGGCCAGATCTACTGCCATGTTCATATGAAATCACGACTCGCGGACATTTCCGAGAGGCGCGCTGGTTTTGGGCACCGGGCTCGCTTGGCGGCCAGAGCACGTGATGGATTGAAGTGCAGGACGGTAGCTGAAAGCAATACAGCAAGCACTATCTGCACCTGCATCGGCCTAGGACCTGAGATGCCACTGGTATGAGCGGATGAGCCACCGCGACTCGTTGCTCACTTGGTTGTTTCCGCGGATGCTGCGATTATTCACGGACTTCGTTCGCCGTTCGGCTCGTGCGACCACTCTTTGGTGCTCGTGGATGCGATTCTGGCCGCGCGGATGATGGAGACGGAGGAAGCCACCTCGAGGTCTGCTTGCGACTGCAAGTCTGCTCAACGCTCTTTCCCAGAGGCCTGCGCACATGCTTTGCGCATGCCGTGGCTTGGAAACGGGAACTCTTTCCTACACCTACTGCCTACGAGTAGACACAGAGAGGCGATTCCTTCGTGGCCGAATGAACCTGCATGACCGGAACAGCTTCGAGCGCCCTGGCTATCACTCGACCAGGACCTTGCCGTTTCAGCTGCCCATGTCGAATACTAATGCTTACTTTGGCTGCCACGACGACGACTACTACGAACACGACAGACCACGGCTGCGACGCAGACTGCGACTGCGACTGCAACGACGACGACGACTACTACTGCTACGACGACGACTGCGAGGACTGCGCTACTACGACCAAGGTGACAACTGCTGCTGCCATTACATGACTAGTGCTACTGTGACGACGACGACAGCTGCTGCTTCTACTAGCGCTGCTACGACGATGCGAGTAGTGCGACGACGACTACTAGTAATGATGCTATGATGCGGCTGTGTGAACACTATCAGCAGCCGGCATTTGTTGCCAGTTCGTGTGAGCATGTCCAGCTGAAGCTTCACAGATATAAGGCAAGCAAGGCGCCGAGTCTGCCAATGTGCTTTGCAGTTGGAGCATCCTCGAGCAGGACATCACCTCGACACTGCTGGTGTTAAATCTACAGCATGCCGCCAGGTGGGCAGCGATGGGAACGATCTACAAACAGAACGGAGACTAGTGGGGCTCGTCTGACATCTTCCTCGTTGCTCAGTATCCCTGCAGCAGTCAAGTGACACAGCTACGGTAACATGCAACCGTTGGGATATGGTGCGCAGGACAAGTCACGGCACTGACCATCCTCTTTCCCTCAACGGCTTGCCCAGTCTGCTTGGTCCAGAAGTAGTTGCTAGAAGCGGCTGTTGGCTTCGTACAATTTTCGGCAATACACCAGTGTTTGACATGATATACTAGCTTGCCGAAGCCCGCGGAAGTTTGCCCACATGAGTCATGTCTCAACCCTAAGAAACTCTGGAAGCGCTCAGAAACGGAGCACAACAAACGCAGACGACTCAAGGTTGGGTTAGCCGATTCGGGTTTGGGTTGCTTTTCAAGTCTTCCCGTCCATCGCGACATGGACCTCCCAGCTTTGCTTCTCCCTGTAGGTCGCGAGAAATCAAGGAGCCATGGGCAAAGCTCGGGAGTCCGGCCATCATCAAGTCATGTTCAAGCAAGGGCATGCGGAATATCGAGACCAAGAGATTCATCATCTTGCCAGAAGCACGGCTTGGCCAGCAACCGGGGCGACAGTGCCCAGGACCCCAGGTGTATTGTCAGCTTGGTGGTGGCCTCCGGCAAGCTTGTGTATCGCCGAGTTCATACAGCAAGAAGTCCGGAGATGTCGCGGGCAGAGTCCGGCCCGAACTATCAGGCAGGTGGCGCAACTCCCACAAGTTCCCAGCGGCCGCCGAATTGGAGCTTCCTTGTGACGGCTACTGAGCGGCTGCTTGGCATGTTCGGGGAAGATGCAACTTCAAAGCATGATGATGACCGGTTTCAGGGGTGTGCCGCATTCAAGAGTTCAGATATGTCTGAACAGGGCAATGTGTGCTGCAGTTTCAGCAGGGCTGTAAGTCATCAATCTAATCTGGTTCCGTCAATTCAACGCTATCTCTGCTGCGAAGCAACTGTTGCACACCTCTCAAGTATCCGTCGATGATCCTGAACAGCACAGACCCGATCTCTCAGGAAGCCGAGGAATTACAGCACCTCGGAGCTCTTGTCGATTGCGGCCATGCTTTCCCTTAGAGACGGCTGTGTGCCTTCACTGGCTGGCCGACGAGTGAAAGTCTCTCTTGTTTGGCTGTTGGGTCGTAGCTGTCTCAAGCGCACTATGTGTCTCCCTCAAGCGCTAGGCTCTGTGCAGGACGGTTACGCAGGGTGGGGCAGGGTCTCATGCACTGTTGTAATGAGTGCCTGACATTCTGTGCACTGCATGCATCTTCACAGGCATGAAGCTTTCGCTGCACAATCTGCAGCCCGCCATGATCTTGCATTAGCAGCGCAGCTAGCTGGGTTTCTGATCTTTGTCCGATGGGCATGATCTACTGCTTGGTCACTTTGGGTAGAGGACAATAGGATGCCCATCTGAGACAGCCAGCAGTGACGGGATGTCAGCTCCTTCTAGTCCCACACAAGATCTGCCTGAGCCATGACCAGTCTTCGCCCCATGATGGTGGAAGACTTGCTTCATTTCAATGCAGCTGAGCTGTTGTTGTCAGGCATGTTGGCAGTGATGTAATGCAAGTTGTAACCGGTGGCACTGAAACCGGCTCTCGGCAGTCTTTTGCTAGAAGTGTCCTGAAATGTCCTGAAGGAGTAACAGCAAGATTTATCGGATTTTAGAGGGCATGGATCGGTCGGCGTGTTTGTGTGTGTGTGTGCGTTTGTAGCGACGGAAATATCAACTAGGGCTTCTCTCCTATCTTTGTGGTTCACGGACGTGGCAAACACAGTCTTCAGGACCTCGGTGACTCCGTCTCCATCCCGTCCGTGTAACATTGTTGGTCGGATACACACCGTTTTCTTTGTGAGCGGCAGGCCCGAAAGGGCGTTTGGGCACCGTTTGAACACTTCGCTAGACACAGTCCGGATGAAAAGTGTGGACATGCACATCTTACGGCTTGCTGCTGAGGCGGTAAATCTAGATACCTGGACGGAGACATTTAACATGAACTTCTACTTCAGCTACCTTACGTGCTGGCCGGAATGCTGCGCCGTTGCGGAAGCCATTGATGGCAGCATCGCTGGATACATTATTGGAAAGGTCGAGGGTTCGGGCCATGAGTTGCTTGGCTCAGCATCTCTGCAATACGACCGAGTTAGCTGCAACGTCTTGGGGAGACTGGAAGATACTGGAAGCTGTTGTGCTGAGGTGGCACGGCCACGTCTCGGCTATCTCTGTCGCACCAGAGTTTCGCCGGACCGGCGATGCTCGACTTCAGTGACAGCACAGAATCACAACTTCAATCATGCTTCGCCGGACAAGAGACGCAGGCTGTGCAAGGCATGTAGTCTGTGCCTCGACTGAGGTAGCCAACAGGTTAATGGAATACCTGGAAGAGGCCGAGCATGGAACAGGAAACCCAGTTTTTAGCGGGATAGCAATCAGGGAAGTCGACTACGACTAAGTCTAAGACTTGACTAGGACTAGGAGCGCCATTTGCAGCGTTGTCCGATCTTGAGAGGTTTGTGGACTCGGGAACCCAGACACGGCGGTAGGGTTGTGTCTCACTGTGAGAACATGGTGACAGGTGAGTGAAAAGGTGCACGACTGCTATTTTGTCGACCTTTTCGTGCGGCCTACAAACACTGCCGCAATCAAGTTCTACGAGCCTTGGTTGCCTGCGCAGAGCAAGAGGGCTTGTATTCCAGCTACGTAGTTGACAAGTACAGCAAAGTCCTGTACTGTAGCCTTTGGCCAGCACAGCAGCAGAGAGCTTGGTCTTCGAGATGATTTCTCAAGTTTCCGAGAAGACATGTGAGCGCATGTCATGAGACTGTGATTGCAGGAAGGACTGGGGTACGTTGTTTATCGAACCGTCACGGGTTACTACTCTGGCGACGAGGACTCGCAAGCTTGGGAGTTGCACGTCGCTGCAATGCAAGTCCCTTAGGGTGCATCACTTCAACGCAGGATGCGTATGACATGAGAAAACCTCTACCGCGAGAGCCTGGGACAAGATTTCAGGATGTGCACCCTGAAGTGCCGCTGGAGCTACGTTCTCGGCCCTAAGGATGTCAATCGCAAGTCGGTTGCGAACGCCGGCTTTCGGATTTCCCCCGAAGCCCTCCATGCCAGCACGAGTTGAGGCACGATGGCGGGTTGGCGTTCTGTCTCAGAGTTGGCCATGGGCAGGCTCGAACAGCCGGAGGCGCTTGGACACTGCGCTTAGCTCCAAAAAGTCTGCAGCAGCTTGCTAGGGCACGCCCGATGACGCCAGCACCCACTCTCGATTTGCTGTAGGCCATGTCTGGCTCTTGGTCAACTAAGTAGTATATGAGAATGCAGTTGGTTCCTACAGGCATGATCCTCATGCGTAGACGCCATTGTAGCCAAAGGTCCCTGGCAAGCCACAGCAGAAATCGATCCCAGCGCCAAGTCTTAACACACTCTTTTCCTGATGCTTTTGGCTGCTGCACCCCCCCAGCACCCCGCATGCGTGGCACGGACAGATGGACTTTAAAAGCAGCATGTAGCGACTGCATGGCTGATGTTGGCGAAATTTCTTTGCCGCCCACGCCCACCAAAGCTGGTGACCTGCAGCTTGCAAGACAACCAGCGGTTCACAAAGCAAAACTCCTTCTGAACAAGTGGTTGGGACAGTTCCGGTCCAGCGCATGCCGGGCTCCTCTTTGACATGCCCAGGTCCTTCCGGCGATTCTCCCGGTTTAATCGGGATGCATCAGCTGCTCAGCTTCGAAGATCTTGGACGAATCGTTGATGCCATCTGATCCGGCCTGAGGCTTGGATCGCGGTTGCTGATGTGGCGCTCTGGGTTTCTGCGCAATGCGCTGCAGGGCTTCGGGGGGAAGGACTTTGCCATGGGCAACGCGCACACAGTGGAGCCGGTTGAGTCTCCTCCGGTCCTCTCGTGCACTCGTTGAAACTGCCTCGCCGCTTCGTTTGGTGATTTGGCCGTTTCCTAGTTGAGCCTGGGTGGGACGCCCGCAAGCTAGATCGCCCACCATGCTCACTGAAAGCACCTGCTCAGCAGACAGCTGACGTTCGCAAAACTGATCTTCTGCCGCATTCGATCAACTCCCCTCGTCGCATGCAGCATCAGGTGTAGCAGCGTTTTGCACAGCACAATGCTAACCTTTCCCCCTTGCTCCGATTGCCTCGACATGCTGCTATCAACAGAGCTTGGCGCTATGAAGGAGGGACTTCAAATACTTCAACAAGGGCTGAAGAGAAGGAACTATGACTGTGTTTGCATAGGCAGACTCGGTTGCGATCAGTCTTTAGATCCTCAGCTTGGCTCGCAATTGCTGCGAAATCCGGCGCCGCTTTGCTGAACAGCTGCCCAAGCTGACCCGCTAGATGCCTTTGATTGCCGCCGCAGCAGATTCAGGAGCCGGCTCTGTCATCAATTGCTGGAGCTGCGGGTGCTCGTCGGGGGAGGCCTTTCGGAAGCAGAATATGTCTCCTAGACGAGAAGGGCGACAGATTCCTGCTGCAGGGCTCGGCGTGGAATTGACGGTCCCTGCAGCCTCTGTCTCTGCCCGCCACCTTCCCCCCACAATAGCCATGCAAGGACCCATGTTAGCAGGGTAGGGTGAGGCACGTCCAGTGGTGCTCCCCGCTTTACATTCCTGTCTTGCTTGAAATTTAAGCTCTGTACACGTGCTGCAGAGGTGTGCAGTGTAGGGCCTGTTTCCCAAATGCGTCGCTAAGGAAGTCTACTATCTAAGCGTCCTGGCTGCACATGTTGCCCTCTGCCTGGAGATGCTGGTGAATGCCTTGCTGGGCTCCCGAAACTGCACGCTCCCAGAAAGATGTACGTCACCTGCACTTCTCTTTGAAGCCTCGGCAAAGCAGTCATCATGTTTGGCACAGGCATGATCTGGCATCGAACGCTGGCAGCGATCTTTCCAGAGACAGGCCGGCCTCTTAGTCACCAGGCCTATAAGGGGAGAAGTGAGGATGTATGGTCTCCAGCCTCTGTTCGGGTGCCGAGCCTACAAAACGACAGGTGGCGCAACCCCCATGTATGGATCCGCCGGTAAGTTGGGTAAGGAGGTTGGGGAATTCTGCACTTCCGCGGCAGACTCAGAAGATCGGGACAAGCTTTGGACAGAAACGGCTCACGGTAGGAGTGCGTGGAACTCCAAACCTGCTGTTGTGATTGGATTTGCCCTCTGTGTGGCACTCCACTTGCCCTTCGCATGTGGCTGGAGAGGACTGCGGCTGTTGGGTACGGACCTTTCCGAGAAGAAGATCGCGACTGCATGCAAGGGAGAGTATCCGTGGTACTCATTGAAGGTCCCTTGCAGGGGTCCTTTGCAATTTCTCCTCGCATCTGTTTCCGGCCAGGGCCTGCCGCTGGACTGGTGTGAGTCTTGGAGGCAAGAATTTCCCGTAGTTTTGCAGTTCGTTCTCGACCTGACGCATCTAAGGAGCAATTCTTCGACTCTCGCCTTCCTTGGTCGATGTGGTTTAGAGCGGTGTGTCTGTATGCATGTATGTATGTATGTATGTATGTATGTATGTGTATGTGCAATGTATGTGTATGTGCATGTATGTATATGAGCAGCCGTCAAAACTTCCGTAATTGTAGTTAAGAGTAGGGTGACCGTGGAATGTCGGATTTTACCAACATCCTTGGAAAGCGATAGGACCCCCCCCAAAAGCGATACGATTAGCAAAGATCATTTGTTGTGAAAAGGTCAGTGCTGCCGCCGCATGTATGCCTCAATTTCCGTGTGATATGTGGCGA